GATAGACTGAACCTTATACAGAAAGACATAGCAAGCATTCACATGATCTCAAAATCCAATCAACTTAGAACTCAAAGCAAGATCATTTCTTTCCCAAGATAATGATCACTATATTAATCATCATTCAAACCTAACTCTCATTAGTGGTAATGATGATCAATATGCATTAATAAGCAGTTCTAAAATTTCATTTATGTTTCAAACAAAAATTCTCATGGCATTCAAAACATAAACCCTTAAGTTAGCTCTTTCAGACATTTCATCAAACACCTTGTGGGTGGAGAAATGTCTAAGGTCTAGATCAAGCTTGTAATGACAGATCTAGCATTAAAAGCAGCTAACTAAGGAAAGGAAATGAGAATCTAGAACCTAAACATTATAAATCAAACATCAAAGCACTCTAATCTACACACCTAGAAACTTAAAAGAAAACTACTCACTATGCATGCTTAACACACCTAATCTTTTTCAAGAGTTGATGCTAAACATGATTAATAAGATAGAAAAGATGAAAATAATGATAAGAAACAGCCTTGATTAATTAAAAACGAGGTATCTCTTCCAATCTTTCACAAAAAAGGCAAAGAAAATAAAGATGGAATGAAAGATACTAGGGTTTTTAGCCAAAAAGGTATATATAGGAACTAAACTGAACCGGCTCAACCCGGGACAAAACGGGTACGGACCTAGTCTTCATGGGTTGCTGGAGCCATGCCTCGTTGACCTGGAGAAGTCCCACACCGAGGGGTCTTGAATCTGGGCTGAAGTATGAAGAACTCACCAAGAACATGCTTGAACATAAGCTTTGATCTTGCTAAGGTCTTTGATCGTGAAGCAAGCTTGTTTGAAATCTGGGTTCATGACTGGAGGCCTCGGCATGTGAAATACCGAGGGGTCAGGCCGAGGTTTTGAACCAAACTTTCGCAAAAAGGGCTCGGTATAAAGATATGTCGAGTGGTCATGGCGAGGTCTTGCACATTTGTTGCGTGTGACATGTGCCTCGATGTAATCAGGCTGAGGGGTCATGTACAGGAGGGCCTCGGGGTATTGAAGGCAAGGGGTTATGCCGAGGCCAGCTGTAACACTTAGGCAAGTTCAAGATCAAACTCCATTGATGCTCCCTTGAACTTGGAATGATATACTCGTCTTCCGCTTGCAGTAACTCTCATATCAGTGACCCAAATGACTCAATACTAAGTCTACATGATAGATGATTCAACCAGCTCGAACTTTGGTGAAGAACCCAACTCCATCTGAGGTCGGCAAGGCTTTCCGGTAAGTTGATCTTTAAGGCGCATTGCACTGGTCCGGATTGGCTTCTAGACATGTGCTTTCTCCGTTTGCGTTATCTCGCAGCTGACAGCTCTAAATCTCTTCAATCCCAGCGTTCTGGAAACTAGATTCAATGCTTTCAAACTTTCATGAAGACCCCGGAAGCTGGATTGGACGGGAAAACTTTCCGGTAATGGCGTCTTTGAGGCGTATCTGATTGGTCTGGAGTGAATGCGAAACAGATTTGTCTTCTGTTGGCCATATCGTTTAGCTCATTGCTCCAAATCCAATGATTCCAACTGTTCTGGAACCTTGACTCTATTATCTTGATCTTTTCTGAAGCCACGGAAGCTGAATCTGATGGGAAGAGCTTCCGGTAACTCGATGTTTGGAGCGTATCAACACAGGAGATTTTTGGCCGAAGATTATGCACGCGGTGCATGTTTTGGTCGAGTTTTCCTTCCCGCGGTACGGTTTTTGGCCGAGAAAACACTGCCTGCGTTACATGGTTTCGCCGAGAGACTCCAAAATGCCCATTTCACCATTTTTGCACCTTTTTCATCATTCCTTCACCTAGTTCCATCTTTTCCACTCCCAAGTGAACTCCAAAGCACCTGTTTGACACTCCAAACATGCAAGAGTCACTTGGACCTAATGCAAAGTCCTAAAACTTTTTAAAAAAGGTAAAACACAATGAATCTATCTAAAATGCATGCATGAGACTCTAATCTTGGACCAAAAATGCATCTAAACATGCAAAGATATTATATATAAGGGAACAAATTTTACCCTAATAAAATCAATTAAAGCGCAAGTGCACAGCTAATGGAGTGTAGCACTTAGAGATCAAATCCACAGGGAAGGAGGATCTTTTCTGCAAAAACATTTGAAAGATATCAAAGCAACGAAGTCTAGAACTGATCGATATTTAAAGGGGGTTTTGGGTGCATTTCACTATAACGTAAATCCTAAACTAAATGGGAAAAGGAAGAAATGATTAAAATGGGAACTAAAAATGACCTAATCTAAAGACTTAAGAAAATCGTCTGGATAGTAAAAATTACCTAGTACGAAAAACTTGAATAAAAATCGATGTAAACTTAAAAAAGGAGACGCTGGGTTATCAGGGAAATTATCTCTGAAGTATCAACAATTCAAAACATTGCTAAAAATAATTTTAAAGATCCTAGCTAAAAATTTTAGAAGTCGAGCTCAAAGGTATGACTACATCACTGTCGTGATCTCAACCAAGTGTCACCAACGACCTTGACCAGTAGGTTTCCACTCTGGCCCTAGTAGCGAGTGTACATAATCTTGCACTAGACTCATATACATTCACAACTCACCCATAGGTAGGTTTCAATTCCTATGGCAGAATTTCTCTTCTCAGACTAGATCTGGCCTCTAATGAAAAATTTCGTAACACTACAAACTTAAAGCACATTATAGTTCATGATGCTACTCCCATGCATTAAAAATAAGTTTAGAAGAAAAATTTATAGGATTAGCCTTAGTAGCTCATGCAATCCTCATCAAACATATGATATCCCCATCGAAAATTCCCTTAAATCCAACAAGTAAATTACTCAGACAAGATTACAGAAAGAAAAAACATTGTATTGAAATACTGAATAGAAATCGATTTCGAAAAGAAACAAAAAGGGTTCATGAGATAGATCTCTATCTCCCTAAACTTAAAAAAGCTAAAAGTTTAAGGAACAACTAAAAACATATAGCACACGGCCTAGGGTTCCAAAAAATAAGTATTTATAGTGCTTAAGTCATTTCTGGATGTCACTTAGGTTTGTCCAAATGAAGAAATCAATTTGGACTTGGAAATGGGCTTCTTGTTCTATCAGTGTATTCTCCGCTGTCAGTGGGCACACGACCAGTGGAAAATGCTAGCTGGTTGCGGTCAGGAATGCTGGCCTGCTGGTTGACGGGACATCTTGCTCTTCGTGTAACTCTTGATTGAACCGTTGGATTGTCCTGGTGTCAAGTGTGCTGGAAAGCTACATCTTTAAACTATCCAAATTTGAGCTGGATCAGACAGTGAGAATATCTTCATTTAAGGGTAAACTTCTAACAATTCGACTCTGAGCTGAAAATCTGGTCTTTATTATTTTGTAAAGCTTTTACATAAGTTTCCTGAAAAGAGTTTTGAATGTAGAAATACTATAAAACCATAATAAAAACACTTAACAGAAATAAAAAATGTTTGAAAAGGCTTTTAAAAACGATCAATAAAAGTGGTCAAAATAGGGTGTTATCAGGGACTAAGAAGAGTTTATGTTGGAAACTCTCTCTGTTTTAAGTTTTATGTCATCTCCTTAACTCGTTACTACCATGTGTTTGAGACATTGCACTCCAGTTTTTTTAGTTTCTATTCAAGTATTTTCAGAATACCTGGATCCGGTATGCTCTGGTTTGCTTGTGTCTTTGTGTGCTGCGTATGTTTATGAATATGTACTTCTTTAGCACACAAGCTAAAAAGGGGGGGGGACTGAAAATGCAACTGAAGCTGAAGCAGTACATGTAGCAGTCGAAGTAGCACAAGGAGTAATACAAAGGAGACTTGCGGGGCAAACTGCTGATGTAGAGTTGAGCTTGTAGCTGAGTTGGAGTCATCTGATGAGCTGGGTGCACCAAGAGGCGAGTCTTAGAAGAAAAGGAAATAAAAGATATCCTTGAAAATTTGGAGTAATCTACAAGGTGAATCAAGCTAGGTTTAGCGGCAAGCCTATTATGTATAAATAGGCGTGTGATGGCATTGTATGTGTCTTAACACAACTGAGAGAATTCATAGCAAAGGGTGAGTGATTATCTTGTAAGAGATCACTAACTAAGGGGCTAAGAGATTCTATTCAGACGTTCTTGAATCTGGTATAGATTCAAGAACAAGGGGAGGCTATAACGACAAATCAAGGTGTGTCTTGAGTTTTTCTTAAATCGGGTTATGTATGATTACGAAACAGATTACTAGTGAAGTATTTTCGAGCAGAGAAATTCCCTGTATTGTGTTGTGTTTTTGTTCATGTCGTACTGCTCTTGCATTTCCAAACACAGCCTGAATGTTTTACTGTAAATTAGACACTTACAGACAACAATCATCCGCCAAGTTTTTGTATCTTAGCAGATAAATTAGCGATAAAATCAAGTTTGTCAACTTTCAAAAGGTCCTATAAGTATGCTTTTGTATCTTATAATGTAATTGCTTGTATATTCTAACTCAAGTTCATAAATTCAGCACAATAGTGGTTTTATCTTTTTTAGATCAGTTACTAGGTGATCAAACTAGCAGCGTCCATTAACAAACAAGAATAGAACAAAGAACCTATTAAATTATCTTAAGTCTAAAAACCAAATAATATAGATTCATAATGCAGGAAGCATTTTTGCTTCATCTTTGCGGCAGCTAGACCTGTTCTCCGTGAAACGAGCATATGTGGAGATCTAATTGTTGGGTTGCCTTCAAATTACTTCGCCATGAAGTGTAGCTCAATTCTCTTTCTTGTGCATAAAAATGAGCCACATGGGGTTGTGTAGAAGGTCTCCATCGAACACATAATTTTATGACTAATTTTGTTTTTTGAAATTTAAAAACTAAAAATATAACTTTATAAATTTAAATCCATAAACCCAAGAAAATAAAATTTAGAAGGTCCATATCAAAACTAAAAAACCCTAACCTACTACCTCTATATAAATAATTGAGAGAGAAGAGAATGCGAAGAGAGAATCTTACAGTGGAGCTCTGCTGGATTGTCGCCAGCGGGAGAATCTCTGAACCAGGAGTGGAGCATGAGGAAGGAAAAGTGAGAGGGAATCAGTACCGAAGGAAAAAGTTTCAGGGAAATTTACCGTCAAACCATAGAGAAACAGACGCTAATCTTGGTACCATTGGAAAGATATTTCTCTCAGCTTTCAAGAACATCCTTATTTGCTCAATTTGGAGATGTGGTTTGGAAGTTATTTCTGTTTCTTTCAGAGAAGTCGAATCTGTTCAAATCTGAACATCTGTTTTCAGGTCTGCTTTTCTAGTTTCAAGTGGTGGTTTGGAGAAGAAGATTCCGACCAGATCTGAGCAGTAGAGAAAAGATTTGGGGTGTGTTTCAACCGCAACGCTATTTTTCAAACTTGACTTTTCAACGTGAATACAAGGTGAAGACTAGTTTGTAGATTCCTAAGATGCATTAATTAACGAGTAACATATGCTTGGCATAGGTCTTAGACATAAATGGTGATTGATAATTGTTGAATATTGAATAGTAACTGAGAGATAATATTGATTTGTTAAGTGTGTTAGTCTAAATGTTAGAAACAGTGTGGACACGATTGCCACCATTGTGTACACTGTTATTTGATGGTGAGATTATTGTGAAGTTGTAATGATTGAGAAATGGCTAACAAGCTATTCCTGAAGTTGGCGATGACACTTTGTTGCTTGTCAAACCCGATATAAATGGTGGCAGAGAATGAGTAACTTGGACATGGTTCTTGGGAATTTGAAGTAGACTTGTTAGAATGAATGCTGTGAAGTGAGTGATTGTATGTAGAAATGTTTATCTTTTTTATCCTGATTTTCATTTCTCAGATAAGTTTATGTTTGTTTTTGGACTATATTTGTTATTCTGGCAGAAAGAAGATTCTAAAAATATTCTTCTACTTACAGGAAAACGATAATTTCTACTAATATTTCAGTGATGTCAAGTTTAATAGTGAGAAGGGCATCGTGTGAAGATAAACAAATGGTAACACAAACAACACTTTACATTTTATAAGGAATTTTCAGGTTTCTCTACAAAGTTATACTCATTTGCATTTTATTTTTAGTGGTAATCCTCTAGAATAGTACATCGTTTTGGGAAAATCGTGAAAATAGTATAATGTACTATTCTTACATATTTTTTTCCAAACGCTGTACAATTTTTTTGATTAGTTGGTCATTTTTTACTATTTTAAAAATTATCTCTTTAATTTATATTAGAGATCGTCTTTCCTAAGCTTTGATGAGTATATTTCCTTGGAAATATGCGCCAAAAGACATTGTCTTTACCAGCCAAAAGACATTGCCTCAGTGGCTCTGATGGTTATCTTTATCTCTTGCTAGGGTAAAAGGACACGAGAACAGCTTTGGTGTGATGATGTCGTCTCTACAGCTCCTGGAAAGTCTTTAGAGAATAAGATTGATTCAAGCTTTGAGAAGAAATTTCGAAAACTGAAATCTTGTGTTCCATCCTCACATCCTTGCTTATCTTCACGACAAACGGTGCATGCTTCAAATTCACCTAATTGTAAAGATGTTAGTCTGAAGACTCTCAAAGATGTAGCCCATAAAGAAGTTAGTGTGAAAACTCTCAAAGATGTTGCCCCTGACTCAAGCGAAACCGGACCATTTATTCCCATTGGTCCTGGTTTCCAGGCTGAAATTCCGGTTTGGATTGCCCTTACAAAGAAGGGCAAATTTTATGGTAGTCCTGGAGATTCCGACACTCTTAGATGGTTGGGTACTGGTGTGTGGCCGACATATAGCCTAAAGAAGAAATTTCATTACAAAAAAGTCGGTGAAGGAAGATCAGATTCTTGTTCTTGTGCTTCTCCAAGATCAACCAATTGCATAAAACAACATATTAAAGAAGCACGAGAGCTTCTAGAAAAAGAAATTGACCGTGCTTTCTATACTTGGAAGTTTGATCAAATGGGTAAAGTTAGATCAAAATCATGGACGACCAAAGAAGGGCAAAGGTTCGAAGCTGTTGTGAAAAATAATTGTTTGTCAAATAGTGAAGGAATTTGGAAATCTGTTTCAAAGGCTTGCTAACTCTTCTGCTGAGAAAGTGAGAAAGTTCTTCTTAGTTACTATTATAATGTTTTCCTCATCAAGCGAATGAGACTGCTTGCTAACTCTTCTGATGACTTCTTAGCTGGATGAAGGCCTTGATGATAGCTGTAATCTTTGCAGATGTTTGTCTTGAACACAGGTAATTCACTCCTACATTCTTCTAGTAACTCAAGTTTCCAAGATCTTGATACTTAGTGATTTAAGAACATGCTTCTTTTCCTCCTTAAGATTTTATGTCATAGGTTTTTTTTTTAAATATATATTTTCTCTTCATGAATCTTGGAGAGATATGTTTCACTCATGAAACAGATCTTCAATATTTCAAATTTAAAACCTCTATATTCTTAGATCTTCTGAGGATATAAGAACTCAAATGTCCATGATTATCCTCTGTTCTTCTTCGGGCAAAAATATTCTCGATTAATATTTTTCTAATTTGTACTACTTATATATTCAAATTCAAAAATCATCTATGAAGAAAATCTAGCAGTGTCAGAGTGCGTAGCCTGGTTTGGTTTAAATAGATTGCATCTTTTGATATCCAAAATACCAAAAATCAAAAAGAAATGATTGATAAAATTATAGTTTCTTAACTACATCTGTATCTAGCTGACCAATCGATGGATAAAATAAATCTTCAATTGTCGACAAAAAAAAAAATTTCAATTTTTATTGACTAATAATCTGTTTAATCTTTAACTTTTTTTTGACCAAGCCATTTTAGATCCAACATTGGTCAACTATATTTGTTAACTAATATTATGACTACAAGGTTTGATAAATAAAAAGTTGAGATTTTGTTTTTGTAAATAAAAAGTTTAAGATTATTTTATTAAACAAAAATTTGGGTATTTTTTGGTAAATAAAACATTTGATATTTTTTCAAACTTTTGGATTAAAGTAGCGAAAACTACTGTAGATGATAAAATATTCACAATTAATAAAATTAATTCATTAGTTTTAAAAAGAAAACAGAATGAAATCATTTTTTATTTATCACCTAAAAATAATTTAAAGCTTTTTAATAAAAAATTTACCATAGAATAAAAAGAAAAGTAGCTTTTTTAAATAAAAAATCAATTTCTCAGAAAAAAATCAAGTTAACATAATTGTTTTCGAAATAAATACTACAATTTGGAATATTTACTAAGTGTCTTTTAATTTGAAATTTTAAATATTAGATCACTCAAACAAAATTTTACTAGAACTTATAACGATTTACAAAAAAATTATGAATTAATTTAACTGATACTACTACTTAAGTTATCTTTCACAATTTTTATTTAAGAAAATCATTTAAAATATATTTTAGGTGAAATACCGGGGATATATAATTTTCAATGAAGAAAACAAGTCGTATAATTTTCTGACATATCATTCTAACTGTTTTGATCTAAAATTTTGTAAAAATTAATTCTTGTTTTGCTAAAAACTTTTTTGAATCTATTATTTACCAAACAAATATCCAATTTTATTGACAAAGCCATTTTAAGCCTCATTTTAGTCAACAATTATAATTGACTAACATTAAAACTAAAATGGTGCAAGAAAAGTTGTAAAATTTTTCTGAGTAATCAACGACAGTTTAAGGAATATTTTGAACATCAAATAGTTGGTTTTTTTTGGCATTGAAAGCTATGATTTCAATTTTTTTTTTTGGCATTTTTCCCCATTTATAAATCAAAAATAGATTTGAATTTCGGATGAAGCAGCTTTATATTTGATTTATTTAGACTATTTTGATAAGAAATCCTAAAATTAATAAAGTAGACAGATTATTCAAGGATCTAAACGCTGGAGACCCACAATGATACAGACAAAACTCAATACTTGTAATTAACAAAACAGATCTAAGATTTGAAGTAACACTCCAACAAATTAAGACTATAACAAATTAAAACTCAAAACTCAATTCTTGAGACAGAGAAACACCCAATTTTAAAGACTGCTTTTGATTGATAAGAATGAAATCAGCTATATCTGAAATAAGCACTGAAGAAGAAACACCCAAAACAACAGTAAAAATTCAAGCCTGATGGGAGTGAACAAGCTTCTGCCAAAACCCAAAACATTAATAGACAAAAACCACGAAAAAGCACAATGAAAGGAGAAAACCAGCCGCTTGCATCATCACCTTACTTGGTCTATGCAATCTATTTTAGGATTTTCCATCAAAGTTATAGAAATAGAGTCTCTGTCGGACAGAATACAAACTCAAATCACAACATATCTCAACACAAAAATGATTACATTTAGTAAATAAGCAAAAGGGCACAACGCCGGATCTTGAGAGTCATCAGATTTAGTTGGAAAACAAGCAACCTGTGTTTTGTTTTTCTAGAAGAGAGGACTGAAAAAGGAAACATCGTAGTACTATTAGCACTACATTTAGTGTGATCATTATTTATTTTTTACTATTTCATACATAAAAGCACAAATAGCATGTGGGATTACATATCAAGAAAATTTCAATTTTTAAACACATCCAAAAGCCCTAGTCGCTCTAGGGATTTTCCTCTCTTAAACTTTTCTTTTTCGTACCTCCCAAGCCAAAAAACTCCCATCACGTCTCCCAAAAAACTCCAGCCCCTCTCAAAAATCCCCTTGGTCCTTGACTTTCTCTGGTATAGTTTGAGTTTTTGTGGTTGATGGTATGGCATGAGCCACAAATCCTTAAGCAGTTGCAGATAGCACTCACAAATTAGATTACGAGTTATGTGTCAGCCCTTCTGGCATATTTCAGATATTCCACTAGTGGTTGGAAAATTTGAAACTCGATCTCTCCTCGATGTCGATTTGGGTCAACTTGAAGAATGTTCGTGATTGGCTCTTCTATCCTAAATGCCTGATGTTTCTGGGAATATTAGGAGCTGCTCATAACTTTCATCCTAACACAGAGTGATGCATCCTTATCAATCATCTCTTCAATCATAAAGATAATATTTTGTTGATTTGTTCTGATATTCTTATACCATATTTCTAACGTGTGCTATGCAAAATGTACGTTCTAATCCACATTGCGTGCCAAGTAATATTTGTATACATTATTTTTTAATGAAAAATATATTAAGCAAACACTAACGAAAATGATTTGGCTTAAGTTTTGATGAAAAATTTCATAATCATGTGATTTCTGTAACTTTAAACGATACCAAAATTTACTTTTTAACGAAAAAAAAAGTAAATTGTTATAAAAGTTACATTATCATGTTGTGGATATTAGTAAAAACTATGAGTATATATTTATATAATTTCAATGAGAACTTTTTTTTTATTGTGTCTATTTAAATTAGCACACAACTAGTTGTTCTTTTGTATTGTTGAATCAAATTTCACAAATTATTTATTTATGAGTATTAGAATGGACATAGTATAAATCTTTACTAATATTGAACATTTGAAATTACCTGGAGAGTTTTGAATATCTGAAATATAGAATTAATCTAACATCGCAAGAAACTCTGAAAATTCCCAAGGCAGTTTAATCTAACATCACATGAAACTGTGAAAGTTCCTACGCTAATGGACAAATTGAGAAATGAGTACTCGAGACTGCTTTGTTGGCTAGTCTAGTACGTTTTTCGATTCAGACATATAGATATAAACAAAACAGAAAGTAAACCTAACTATCAAGTTTGGGACACGTAGTTCTGGAACAACAAAGCATGAGGCAAACATCTAGAAACTTAAAATGCAATTATTTAGTCAACAATTGTCTCTAGGTTTTTTTTTTTAAGGAAACAAGAAACATTATAACGGATGCAGTGCATCTGGCTTCTACACTGATGAGCGTCATTATCAAATTTGAGAACACAAAATGTTACGGGTCAACCCAGCCTCAATGTTTTACTGTAAACTAGACACTTACAGACAAGAAACATCCCCCAAATGTTTGTATCTTAGCAGATAAATTAGCGGTAATATCAAGTTTGTCAACTTTCACAAAGTCCTATTCTAATTTGATATACATATGTTTTATCTCATATTAGCCCTTATTTTAGTTTTTGTCTTTTCCTTGTCTTCTTATAATTTTTCTTTATCTTTTGCATTCATATATGGTTTAGTGTGTTTTAGAAGAGTCCTAGAGAGTCTTTGTGCATTTCATTCCTTTTAGCTACATTTGGAGATGTTTGGAGACTATGGAGCTATAGACACTTGGAGAATGGACCAACGAAGAAGTTTTGAAGAAGTTTGAAGCTGGGCCACAACGCTGGCCCGCCACCCTGGTCTAGTCTTCCTTTAAGCTATGACCAGTGTAGAAGAAGGTATCTAGGCCGCAATTTTACCATACATCAATGCCGGACTCCAACATCCGTTGTTGGAGCTTAGAGACGAAACAACCCAAAGCGCCTAAAAGATTGGGTCGGACAAGATCTTCCATTCAGATTTAGCTTCGGAGGTTTTTATGAAAGATGTAGATAATTTAGTTAGCTTTCGTCTGGAGGTGCTTTCAAGTCATTCCTAGTGGTTCAAGAAAAACAGCAAATCTAGCGAGTACCTATCTACCTAGAGCCAAACAAGCATACACCAGGCAAATATTGGACTGCTACACTGGACCACCCATGTCCAGAATCAAGGACCAAGTCACCAACACCTTGCCTTATGCCACCCAGTACCAGACTCGCCAATCAGGTGTTGGAAGCTTCAAACCCCGAGAAAACACCGGGTGCATCCACCAGACTTCCTCCGGCTGGTGTAAAAGCTTCAAGACACACAACCCAACATTGGACTACTCAACACTAGATTACTACAGTCTGGTACCAGCCACCATACTCTACCTGGACCACCCATAGTAAATATCACACACACCTAGTTTTAGAGGACCATCTCTTTTTTGAATTTCTAAGCTTTTTAACAGATCTTTTAATTTTAATGCCATTTTGAATCTTTTTGTCTTTAATCTATCTTTTTTTGTTTATCTATTCCATAATCATGATTAACATCCACTTTTCTTGAGATTTATGGGTTTATTAGTGAGTTAGTCTTTATGCTCATGGGTGAGATAGATTATGGGTTTCTTTGATTGATCTATGACGTATAGGGCTAGTTACTTCTTTTCCTTTCTTATTTAGTGACACTGATGCTAGATTAGTGTTGAGAAAACTATGTAGAACAGAGGGAATTTCATACCCACAAGGTGTTTGATAAAATTTCCCAAAAAACTATATAAGAGATTTTACTTGCTTAACCTATGAGAATAGATGTTTAAGAATTATCATGGAGAGTGGAACTTATGTTTAATTCTTGTAATTACATTTTTCACAAATGAGAGTTTGATCTTGATTAATGGTAATTAGCAAAATGATTAGTTTCATGAGAGTGGATTAGTCTTGTTTAAGTGTTCTAGGCTAAAAAAATTGATTGATTGTGTGTTTTGACATCATAGATTGATCATAGAAATTCCCAGTGTCCATAACTTCATCCAAGAGCTTGCCTTTATCATTGTTAATCTTGTTTAAATTGCTTGATTTCTTTAATTTTCTTGTTTATCTTGCCTAGTTTATCTACTTGTTTAATTTTATTTTGAATCATTAGGTTGCTAGTTTGCAAATTAAAAACCAAATTGCTTTCTTGGATTAAGTAGTTCTATGTATTCTTAGTGCTTGAGACTTATCCCTTTTGGATTGATAACCTAAAGCATTACAATGATATGAGTATGCCTAAGGGATTGTTCTAGGTTTTGAACTAAAAAAAATCCACTTATTAATTGGGATTAGATTTCAACATTAGGATTTTAGATCTTCTTGAGATCAAGCCTTTATTTTCTTTTGTTACCTGTTGTATCTCACTTGGTTTCTCTTCTTTTCTTACAGGTACAAGAACTTCAGAGCTGGGAATGATAAACAACATAGGACCAAGAGCTGCAAACTTGGTTGGAGCTGGTGATGCTGTTAATGCTCACGCAAATAGCCAGGAAATACAAGCACCAGCTGGGGAGAACTACAGTTTTGAGATTAAGGCTGGGTTTATAAACATGGTGCAGAGCAATAAATTTTATAGGTAAGCTATAATAGACCCTCTTGATCATCTGGATCACTTTGATATAATCTGTGGGCTGAAAAAGATGAATGGGTTATCAGAAAACAGCTTCAAGCTCAAGCTTTTCCATTTTCATCTTGGAGACAAAACACATCTATGGGAGAAGAACCTTCCTCAAGGCTCTATCATTACATGGGACCAATGCAAGAAAGCTTTAGTAGCCAAGTTCTTCTCCAGCTCTAGAACTGCTAGGCTGAGGAATGAAATATCAAGCTTCACAAAAAATAACCGTGATAGCTTTTGTGAAGCATAGGAAAGGTTCAAGAGTTATACTATTCATAGCCCTCATCATGACTTCAATAATGACTCACTCCTTAACACTCTTTATAGGGGAGCATTGCCCAAGATAAGATTACTCCTAGATACAGCTTCAACTGAAAATTTTTTGGCTAGAGAGGTGAATGAAATTATGGGATTAGTAGAGAACTTAGCTCAGAGCGATGAGAGCAATGGTGAAGAGTATAACAGAGCTTCAAGGAGAGATGTGAGTTTGAAAAAAGAAAAGACAAGGAAGGACATCAAATCACTAAATGAGAAGCCAGAAAAACTTCTCCTAGCCTCTCAAAAGTCTGTCAATTTTGTTGGAGATCTACACCAAGAATTCCAAGACAATGTTCAATGTGAAGACATAACAGCAGAAGTGAATCAACCCAATTTTTTTTAAGAAGCGGAAATGTAGCCAACCCACAAGACCAAGTCTATCACACCGAGAAGAACTTTTCTCAATGTGTCCAACAACAAGGCTTTATCGCTCCCCAACAACAAAGTTTAGCTCAGGGCCTAAAGATCAAGAAGTGAAGAACATGCTTCAACAGCTACTACAGTGTCAAGCTTGTGTTGCTATGGACTTGAGCAAGAAAATGGCAGAGATCCACAACAAAGTATACTGCTCATATTCTGACCTGACTTCAAAGGTTGAGACTTTACACACCAAGATAAAGCAAATGGAGAATCAAAGTGCTCAAAAAGCTTCCCTCACTAGTAGAAGCATGGAGAAACTAAAGAGCAATGTTGGAGAAAACTAAAAGGCGTATTGCAATGCCATTTTCTCCAATGAAGTCCATTATATTGCTGAAAATTAAGCTGATATAAAGGAGGTTGAGATTCTACTTTATAGTCCACAAACTACAACTCAATGAGGAAATTGAGCAACTAGATGGGGACGTAGCCATTAATACTGGTGTTGCTGTGCTGAAGGACGCCTATGAAGCTTCTAAATACATGGCTGGGGTCGTTGCTGAAGAGAAAGCCAAGGAGAAGCCCAAGGAAGAAGAGAAAGCTTATGTGCCACCAGCTTATGAGCCATCACTCCCATTTCCAGGTCATTTTCTCACCAAAGCTCAAAAGAAATTACTTAAGAGTATTAGAACAAACATGGAGAGCATTGGAGTACCTTTGTCTCATGTGGAGAATTTGCATCAAATCCCTGGACATCTTAAGTTCATCAAGTCTTTATGCTCATGGGTGAGATAGATTATGGGTTTCTTTGATTGATCTATGACGTATAGGGCTAGATTACTTCTTTTCCTTTCTTATTTAGTGACACTGATGCTAGATTAGTGTTGAGAAAACTATGTAGAACAGAGGGAATTTCATACCCACAAGGTGTTTGATAAAATTTCCCAAAAAACTATATAAGAGATTTTACTTGCTTAACCTATGAGAATAGATGTTTAAGAATTATCATGGAGAGTGGAACTTATGTTTAATTCTTGTAATTACATTTTTCACAAATGAGAGTTTGATCTTGATTAATGGTAATTAGCAAAATGATTAGTTTCATGAGAGTGGATTAGTCTTGTTTAAGTGTTCTAGGCTAAAAAAAAAATGATTGACTGTGTGTTTTGACATCATAGATTGATCATAGAAATTCCCGGTGTCCATAACTTCATCCAAGAGCTTGCCTTTATCATTGTTAATCTTGTTTAAATTGCTTGATTTCTTTAATTTTCTTGTTTATCTTGCCTAGTTTATCTACTTGTTTAATTTTATTTTGAATCATTAGGTTGCTAGTTTGCAAATTAAAAACCAAATTGCTTTCTTGGATTAAGTAGTTCTATGTATTCTTAGTGCTTGAGACTTATCCCTTTTGGATTGATAACCTAAAGCATTACAATGATATGAGTATGCCTAAGGGATTGTTCTAGGTTTTGAACTAAAAAAAATCCACTTATTAATTGGGATAAGATTTCAACATTAGGATTTTAGATCTTCTTGAGATCAAGCCTTTATTTTCTTTTGTTACCTGTTGTATCTCACTTGGTTTCTCTTCTTTTCTTACAGGTACAAGAACTTCAGAGCTGGGAATGATAAACAACATAGGACCAAGAGCTGCAAACTTGGTTGGAGCTGGTGATGCTGTTAATGCTCAAGCAAATAGCCAGGAAATACAAGCACCAGCTGGGGAGAACTACAGTTTTGAGATCAAGGCTGGGTTTATAAACATGGTGCAGAGCAATAAATTTTATGGGTAAGCTATAATTGACCCTCTTGATCATCTGGATCACTTTGATATAATCTGTGGGCTGAAAAAGATGAATGGGTTATCAGAAAACAGTTTCAAGCTCAAGCTTTTCCATTTTCGTCTTGGAGACAAAACACATCTATGGGAGAAGAACCTTCCTCAAGGCTCTATCATTACATGGGACCAATGCAAGAAAGCTTTAGTAGCCAAGTTCTTCTCCAGCTCTAGAACTGCTAGGCTGAGGAATGAAATATCAAGCTTCACAAAAAATAACCGTGATAGCTTTTGTGAAGCATAGGAAAGGTTCAAGAGTTATACTATTCATTGCCCTCATCATGACTTCAATAATGACTCACTCCTTAACACTCTTTATAGGGGAGCATTGCCCAAGATAAGATTACTCCTAGATACAGCTTCAACTGAAAATGTTTTGGCTCAAGAGGTGAATGAAATTATGGGATTAGTAGAGAACTTAGCTCAGAGCGATGAGATCAATGGTGAAGAGTATAACAGAGCTTCAAGGAGAGATGTGAGTTTGAAAAAAGAAAAGACAAGGAAGGACATCAAATCACTAAATGAGAAGCCAGAAAAACTTCTCCTAGCCTCTCAAAAGTCTGTCAATTTTGTTGGAGATCTACACCAAGGATTCCAAGACAATGTTCAATGTGAAGACATAACAGCAGAAGTGAATCAACCCAATTTTTTTTAAGAAGCGGAAATGTAGCCAACCCACAAGACCAAGTCTATCACACCGAGAAGAACTTTTCTCAATGTGTCCAACAACAAGGCTTTATCGCTACCCAACAACAAAGTTTAGCTCAGGGCCTAAAGATCAAGAAGTGAAGAACATGCTTCAACAACTACTACAGTGTCAAGCTTGTGTTGCTATGGACTTGAGCAAGAAAATGGCAGAGATCCACAACAAAGTATACTGCTCATATTCTGACCTGACTTCAAAGGTTGAGACTTTACACACCAAGATAAAGCAAATGGAGAATCAAAGTGCTCAAAAAGCTTCCCTCACTAGTAGAAGCATGGAGAAACTAAAGAGCAATGTTGGAGAAAACTAAAAGGCGTATTGCAATGCCATTTTCTCCAATGAAGTCCATTATATTGCTGAAAATGAAGCTGATATAAAGGAGGTTGAGATTCTACTTTATAGTCCACAAACTACAACTCAATGAGGAAATTGAGCAACTAGATGGGGACGTAGCCATTAATACTGGTGTTGCTGTGCTGAAGGACGCCTATGAAGCTTCTAAATACATGGCTGGGGTCGTTGCTGAAGAGAAAGCCAAGGAGAAGCCCAAGGAAGAAGAGAAAGCTTATGTGCCACCAGCTTATGAGCCATCACTCCCATTTCCAGGTCATTTTCTCACCAAAGCTCAAAAGAAATTACTTAAGAGTATTAGAACAAACATGGAGACAATTGGAATACCTTTGTCTCATGTGGAGAATTTGCATCAAATCCCTGGACATCTTAAGTTCATCAAGTCTTTATGCTCATGGGTGAGATAGATTATGGGTTTCTTTGATTGATCTATGACGTATAGGGCTAGATTACTTCTTTTCCTTTCTTATTTAGTGACACTGATGCTAGATTAGTGTTGAGAAAACTATGTAGAACAGAGGGAATTTCATACCCACAAGGTGTTTGATGAAATTTCCCAAAAAACTATATAAGAGATTTTACTTGCTTAACCTATGAGAATAGATGTTTAAGAATTATCATGGAGAGTGGAACTTATGTTTAATTCTTGTAATTACATTTTTCACAAATGAGAGTTTGATCTTGATTAATGGTAATTAGCAAAATGATTAGTTTCATGAGAGTGGATTAGTCTTGTTTAAGTGTTCTAGGCTAAAAAAAATTGATTGATTGTGTGTTTTGACATCATAGATTGATCATAGAAATTCCCGGTGTCCATAACTTCATCCAAGAGCTTGCCTTTATCATTGTTAATCTTGTTGAAATTGCTTGATTTCTTTAATTTTCTTGTTTATCTTGCCTAGTTTATCTACTTGTTTAATTTTATTTTGAATCATTAGGTTGCTAGTTTGCAAATTAAAAACCAAATTGCTTTCTTGGATTAAGTAGTTCTCTGTATTCTTAGTGCTTGAGACTTATCCCTTTTGGATTGATAACCTAAAGCATTACAATGATATGAGTATGCCTAAGGGATTGTTCTAGGTTTTGAACTAAAAAAAATCCACTTATTAATTGGGATTAGATTTCAACATTAGGATTTTAGATCTTCTTGAGATCAAGCCTTTATTTTCTTTTGTTACCTGTTGTATCTCACTTGGTTTCTCTTCTTTTCTTACAGGTACAAGAACTTCAGAGCTGGGAATGATAAACAACATAGGACCAAGAGCTGCAAACTTGGTTGGAGCTGGTGATGCTGTTAATGCTCAAGCAAATAGCCAGGAAATACAAGCACCAGCTGGGGAGAACTACAGTTTTGAGATCAAGGCTGGGTTTATAAACATGGTGCAGAGCAATAAATTTTATGGGTAAGCTATAATAGACCCTCTTGATCATCTGGATCACTTTGATATAATCTGTGGGCTGAAAAAGATGAATGGGTTATCAGAAAACAGCTTCAAGCTCAAGCTTTTCCATTTTCGTCTTGGAGACAAAACACATCTATGGGAGAAGAACCTTCCTCAAGGCTCTATCATTACATGGGACCAATGCAAGAAAGCTTTAGTAGCCAAGCTCTTCTCCAGCTCTAGAACTGCTAGGCTGAGGAATGAAATATCAAGCTTCACAAAAAATAACTGTGATAGCTTTTGTGAAGCATAGGAAAGGTTCAAGAGTTATACTATTCATTGCCCTCATCATGACTTCAATAATGACTCACTCCTTAACACTCTTTATAGGGGAGCATTGCCCAAGATAAGATTACTCCTAGATACAGCTTCAACTGAAAATGTTTTGGCTCAAGAGGTGAATGAAATTATGGGATTAGTAGAGAACTTAGCTTAGAGCGATGAGATCAATGGTGAAGAGTATAACAGAGCTTCAAGGAGAGATGTGAGTTTGAAAAAAGAAAAGACAAGGAAGGACATCAAATCACTAAATGAGAAGCCAGAAAAACTTCTCCTAGCCTCTCAAAAGTCTGTCAATTTTGTTGGAGATCTACACCAAGGATTCCAAGACAATGTTCAATGTGAAGACATAACAGCAGAAGTGAATCAACCCAATTTTTTTTAAGAAGCGGAAATAGCCAACCCACAAGACCAAGTCTATCACACCGAGAAGAACTTTTCTCAATGTGTCCAACAACAAGGCTTTATCGCTCCCCAACAACAAAGTTTAGCTCAGGGCCTAAAGATCAAGAAGTGAAGAACATGCTTCAACAACTACTACAGTGTCAAGCTTGTGTTGCTATGGACTTGAGCAAGAAAATGGCAGAGATCCACAACAAAGTATACTGCTCATATTCTGACCTGACTTCAAAGGTTGAGACTTTACACACCAAGATAAAGCAAATGGAGAATCAAAGTGCTCAAAAAGCTTCCCTCACTAGTAGAAGCATGGAGAAACTAAAGAGCAATGTTGGAGAAAACTAAAAGGCGTATTGCAATGCCATTTTCTCCAATGAAGTCCATTATATTGCTGAAAATGAAGCTGATATAAAGGAGGTTGAGATTCTACTTTATAGTCCACAAACTACAACTCAATGAGGAAATTGAGCAACTAGATGGGGACGTAGCCATTAATACTGGTGTTGCTGTGCTGAAGGACGCCTATGAAGCTTCTAAATACATGGCTGGGGTCGTTGCTGAAGAGAAAGCCAAGGAGAAGCCCAAGGAAGAAGAGAAAGCTTATGTGCCACCAGCTTATGAGCCATCACTCCCATTTCCAGGTCATTTTCTCACCAAAGCTCAAAAGAAATTACTTAAGAGTATTAGAACAAACATGGAGACAATTGGAGTACCTTTGTCTCATGTGGAGAATTTGCATCAAATCCCTGGACATCTTAAGTTCATCAAGTCTTTATGCTCATGGGTGAGATAGATTATGGGTTTCTTTGATTGATCTATGACGTATAGGGCTAGATTACTTCTTTTCCTTTCTTATTTAGTGACACTGATGCTAGATTAGTGTTGAGAAAACTATGTAGAACAGAGGGAATTTCATACCCACAAGGTGTTTGATGAAATTTCCCAAAAAACTATATAAGAGATTTTACTTGCTTAACCTATGAGAATAGATGTTTAAGAATTATCATGGAGAGTGGAACTTATGTTTAATTCTTGTAATTACATTTTTCACAAATGAGAGTTTGATCTTGATTAATGGTAATTAGCAAAATGATTAGTTTCATGAGAGTGGATTAGTCTTGTTTAAGTGTTCTAGGCTAAATAAAATTGATTGATTGTGTGTTTTGACATCATAGATTGATCATAGAAATTCCCAGTGTCCATAACTTCATCCAAGAGCTTGCCTTTATCATTGTTAATCTTGTTTAAATTGCTTGATTTCTTTAATTTTCTTGTTTATCTTGCCTAGTTTATCTACTTGTTTAATTTTATTTTGAATCATTAGGTTGCTAGTTTGCAAATTAAAAACCAAATTGCTTTCTTGGATTAAGTAGTTCTATGTATTCTTAGTGCTTGAGACTTATCCCTTTTGGATTGATAACCTAAAGCATTACAATGATATGAGTATGCCTAAGGGATTGTTCTAGGTTTTGAACTAAAAAAAATCCACTTATTAATTGGGATTAGATTTCAACATTAGGATTTTAGATCTTCTTGAGATCAAGCCTTTATTTTCTTTTGTTACCTGTTGTATCTCACTTGGTTTCTCTTCTTTTCTTACAGGTACAAGAACTTCAGAGCTGGGAATGATAAACAACATAGGAACAAGAGCTGCAAACTTGGTTGGAGCTGGTGATGCTGTTAATGCTCAAGCAAATAGCCAGGAAATACAAGCACCAGCTGGGGAGAACTACAGTTTTGAGATCAAGGCTGGGTTTATAAACATGGTGCAGAGCAATAAATTTTATGGGTAAGCTATAATAGACCCTCTTGATCATCTGGATCACTTTGATATAATCTGTGGGCTGAAAAAGATGAATGGGTTATCAGAAAACAGTTTCAAGCTCAAGCTTTTCCATTTTCGTCTTGGAGACAAAACACATCTATGGGAGAAGAACCTTCCTCAAGGCTCTATCATTACATGGGACCAATGCAAGAAAGCTTTAGTAGCCAAGTTCTTCTCCAGCTCTAGAACTGCTAGGCTGAGGAATGAAATATCAAGCTTCACAAAAAATAACCGTGATAGCTTTTGTGAAGCATAGGAAAGGTTCAAGAGTTATACTATTCATTGCCCTCATCATGACGTCAATAATGACTCACTCCTTAACACTCTTTATAGGGGAGCATTGCCCAAGATAAGATTACTCCTAGATACAGCTTCAACTGAAAATGTTTTGGCTCAAGAGGTGAATGAAATTATGGGATTAGTAGAGAACTTAGCTCAGAGCGATGAGATCAATGGTGAAGAGTATAACAGAGCTTCAAGGAGAGATGTGAGTTTGAAAAAAGAAAAGACAAGGAAGGACATCAAATCACTAAATGAGAAGCCAGAAAAACTTCTCCTAGCCTCTCAAAAGTCTGTCAATTTTGTTGGAGATCTACACCAAGGATTCCAAGACAATGTTCAATGTGAAGACATAACAGCAGAAGTGAATCAACCCAATTTTTTTTAAGAAGCGGAAATGTAGCCAACCCACAAGCCCAAGTCTATCACACCGAGAAGAACTTTTCTCAATGTGTCCAACAACAAGGCTTTATCGCTCCCCAACAACAAAGTTTAGCTCAGGGCCTAAAGATCAAGAAGTGAAGAACATGCTTCAACAACTACTACAGTGTCAAGCTTGTGTTGCTATGGACTTGAGCAAGAAAATGGCAGAGATCCACAACAAAGTATACTGCTCATATTCTGACCTGACTTCAAAGGTTGAGACTTTACACACCAAGATAAAGCAAATGGAGAATCAAAGTGCTCAAAAAGCTTCCCTCACTAGTAGAAGCATGGAGAAACTAAAGAGCAATGTTGGAGAAAACTAAAAGGCGTATTGCAATGCCATTTTCTCCAATGAAGTCCATTATATTGCTGAAAATGAAGCTGATATAAAGGAGGTTGAGATTCTACTTTATAGTCCACAAACTACAACTCAATGAGGAAATTGAGCAACTAGATGGGGACGTAGCCATTAATACTGGTGTTGCTGTGCTGAAGGACGCCTATGAAGCTTCTAAATACATGGCTGGGGTCGTTGCTGAAGAGAAAGCCAAGGAGAAGCCCAAGGAAGAAGAGAAAGCTTATGTGCCACCAGCTTATGAGCCATCACTCCCATTTCCAGGTCATTTTCTCACCAAAGCTCAAAAGAAATTATTTAAGAGTATTAGAACAAACATGGAGACAATTGGAGTACCTTTGTCTCATGTGGAGAATTTGCATCAAATCCCTGGACATCTTAAGTTCATCAAGTCTTTATGCTCATGGGTGAGATAGATTATGGGTTTCTTTGATTGATCTATGACGTATAGGGCTAGATTACTTCTTTTCCTTTCTTATTTAGTGACACTGATGCTAGATTAGTGTTGAGAAAACTATGTAGAACAGAGGGAATTTCATACCCACAAGGTGTTTGATGAAATTTCCCAAAAAACTATATAAGAGATTTTACTTGCTTAACCTATGAGAATAGATGTTTAAGAATTATCATGGAGAGTGGAACTTATGTTTAATTCTTGTAATTACATTTTTCACAAATGAGAGTTTGATCTTGATTAATGGTAATTAGCAAAATGATTAGTTTCATGAGAGTGGATTAGTCTTGTTTAAGTGTTCTAGGCTAAATAAAATTGATTGATTGTGTGTTTTGACATCATAGATTGATCATAGAAATTCCCAGTGTCCATAACTTCATCCAAGAGCTTGCCTTTATCATTGTTAATCTTGTTTAAATTGCTTGATTTCTTTAATTTTCTTGTTTATCTTGCCTAGTTTATCTACTTGTTTAATTTTATTTTGAATCATTAGGTTGCTAGTTTGCAAATTAAAAACCAAATTGCTTTCTTGGATTAAGTAGTTCTATGTATTCTTAGTGCTTGAGACTTATCCCTTTTGGATTGATAACCTAAAGCATTACAATGATATGAGTATGCCTAAGGGATTGTTCTAGGTTTTGAACTAAAAAAAATCCACTTATTAATTGGGATTAGATTTCAACATTAGGATTTTAGATCTTCTTGAGATCAAGCCTTTATTTTCTTTTGTTACCTGTTGTATCTCACTTGGTTTCTCTTCTTTTCTTACAGGTACAAGAACTTCAGAGCTGGGAATGATAAACAACATAGGAACAAGAGCTGCAAACTTGGTTGGAGCTGGTGATGCTGTTAATGCTCAAGCAAATAGCCAGGAAATACAAGCACCAGCTGGGGAGAACTACAGTTTTGAGATCAAGGCTGGGTTTATAAACATGGTGCAGAGCAATAAATTTTATGGGTAAGCTATAATAGACCCTCTTGATCATCTGGATCACTTTGATATAATCTGTGGGCTGAAAAAGATGAATGGGTTATCAGAAAACAGTTTCAAGCTCAAGCTTTTCCATTTTCGTCTTGGAGACAAAACACATCTATGGGAGAAGAACCTTCCTCAAGGCTCTATCATTACATGGGACCAATGCAAGAAAGCTTTAGTAGCCAAGTTCTTCTCCAGCTCTAGAACTACTAGGCTGAGGAATGAAATATCAAGCTTCACAAAAAATAACCGTGATAGCTTTTGTGAAGCATAGGAAAGGTTCAAGAGTTATACTATTCATTGCCCTCATCATGACGTCAATAATGACTCACTCCTTAACACTCTTTATAGGGGAGCATTGCCCAAGATAAGATTACTCCTAGATACAGCTTCAACTGAAAATGTTTTGGCTCAAGAGGTGAATGAAATTATGGGATTAGTAGAGAACTTAGCTCAGAGCGATGAGATCAATGGTGAAGAGTATAACAGAGCTTCAAGGAGAGATGTGAGTTTGAAAAAAGAAAAGACAAGGAAGGACATCAAATCACTAAATGAGAAGCCAGAAAAACTTCTCCTAGCCTCTCAAAAGTCTGTCAATTTTGTTGGAGATCTACACCAAGGATTCCAAGACAATGTTCAATGTGAAGACATAACAGCAGAAGTGAATCAACCCAATTTTTTTTAAGAAGCGGAAATGTAGCCAACCCACAAGACCAAGTCTATCACACCGAGAAGAACTTTTCTCAATGTGTCCAACAACAAGGCTTTATCGCTCCCCAACAACAAAGTTTAGCTCAGGGCCTAAAGATCAAGAAGTGAAGAACATGCTTCAACAACTACTACAGTGTCAAGCTTGTGTTGCTATGGACTTGAGCAAGAAAATGGCAGAGATCCACAACAAAGTATACTGCTCATATTCTGACCTGACTTCAAAGGTTGAGACTTTACACACCAAGATAAAGCAAATGGAGAATCAAAGTGCTCAGAAAGCTTCCCTCACTAGTAGAAGCTTCCCTCACTAGTAGAAGCTTGTGTTGCTATGGACTTGAGCAAGAAAATGGCAGAGATCCACAACAAAATATACTGCTCATATTCTGACCTGACTTCAAAGGTTGAGACTTTACACACCAAGATAAAGCAAATGGAGAATCAAAGTGCTCAAAAAGCTTCCCTCACTAGTAGAAGCATGGAGAAACTAAAGAGCAATGTTGGAGAAAACTAAAAGGCGTATTGCAATGCCATTTTCTCCAATGAAGTCCATTATATTGCTGAAAATGAAGCTGATATAAAGGAGGTTGAGATTCTACTTTATAGTCCAGAAACTACAACTCAATGAGGAAATTGGGCAACTAGATGGGGACGTAGCCATTAATACTGGTGTTGCTGTGCTGAAGGACGCCTATGAAGCTTCTAAATACATGGCTGGGGTCGTTGCTGAAGAGAAAGCCAAGGAGAAGCCCAAGGAAGAAGAGAAAGCTTATGTGCCACCAGCTTATGAGCCATCACTCCCATTTCCAGGTCATTTTCTCACCAAAGCTCAAAAGAAATTACTTAAGAGTATTAGAACAAACATGGAGACAATTGGAGTACCTTTGTCTCATGTGGAGAATTTGCATCAAATCCCTGGACATCTTAAGTTCATCAAGTCTGTTTTTAGAACAAAGAGAAAGTAGAAGAGCTGATAGAGATTTCTGGTTCACCAAGCACAACATGGGCTGAGCCTAAGTTTATTCCCAAGCTCAGGAACCCAGGTAGATTCTCCATATCTTGTAATCTTGGAGGTATGGAGATTGATGTTTGTGATTCTGGAGCTAGTGTGAATGTGATCTCTTGTGAGATGGTGAAGAGTCTAGACATCAAAGACATGAAGCCACATTCAACACCTATCATGTTTGGAGATTCAATCTTCAAAAGAACCACTTGGAGTTCTTGAGAACGATCCTCTAAAGATTGGAGAGTGCCTTGCACCGACATACTTTATGGTTGTGGAAATGGAATAGGCTAACAAACTTCCGCTTATACTTGGAACCCTTTTCCTCAAAAAAACTGGTGCAAGCATAGACTTTCATAACAAGAGAGTCATGCTTAAGAATGTCAATGACAAGGTCTTCTACCCCATCAAGCCTCCTCAAATAAACTTATGGTACAGTTGCTTATGAGGATGTTGACGCTCAAGCTGGAAGCACTAGGGAGTCTGTTTGGAATTACTTTTCGCTAACTGAAAGGAGCAAGAGATTAAAGACACGAAAGGTGAAGGCTCAAAGGTCAAGAAAAATAAACTAAAGAACAACGAACCTCACACCCTTGGACCATCTTCTCAAGCTATAAATCTCACACCTTATAAGTTTGATGGTGAAGCTGTTGAGTACAGACTGAAGGGTATAGGAAGGTCCAAGCCATTTGCAAGAGTCAGGGCACTTCTCACCTCTGAGCTTAAAGACAAAGGGCCAAATGGTGTTCAAGATGTCATGAGCAGAATTCTCAGCTTTGAGCTCATGGACCAGCCAAGGAATTCCATTACTCCTCTCTCTGCATAAAAAAATATGAAAATTCAAACTTAGTGACTTTAAACAAAGTGCATTTGGGAGACAGACTCATGTTTATCCTTGTAGATAGTTTCTTTTAATGTTTTTAGAACCTTTTGATGTGTTTGTTATGTGTTTTCAGGGTTATCAATGGTTTAGTGGTTCATGGCCTTGAGGCAATGATGTTTGGAGCTGAGAAACAAGTTAAGGTGAAGAGGGTTGGATTACTTTTTTTCCAGACTGAGCACCAAGACTGACTAGGAGCAAGCATGAACTGGTCGGTCCATACCATCCACAAAAATACTGACCTGGAGAAC